GAAAAGACGCGCCGGCCAAGCAGCAGCAGCAGCAGCAGCAACGACAACAGCAACAACAAGAGCAGTCATCACACATCGCTAGCGAGCACCCATACTCGCTGCCGACAGACTACTCTGACTTTGTACTCTCTGACTCGTGGTAGATATCTCACAATCTATCTCGTACTAAAGTTGATAGCCGGCCCGAACGTGCGCGCGCCCGTCGGTGCACGCACACGACCGCCTGCGCCGCGTGGCCCGAGGTCGCGACGCACTTTGCCCCGTGCAGAGGGGCGCTTGCGCGTTCTAGACGCCTTGGACGACTTGGTGGAGGAAAATCCAAAGAGCTCTCCACCAGGCAGCAGAGCCGGGTCCCCCAGACCGAGTGGGTCGTCGCTTGGCGCCACACGCGCCTTGGCCGGCTTGGGACGCGACGCATCAATAGCAGTGGCACGGATATCCCCCTTCGCGAGACCAAGCTTGCGTTTCTTGAGTCCCTGGGCCTTTGAGGAGGGCATCGAAACCGCGCGGCTCAGCGCGTTGTATTGGAGTGGCGCGTCTTCAGACTGCTCGGCAGGCTCCTCGTCAAACGTGCGGATTATAGTGTTGCCACCGGCCTTGACGATCTTTTCATTTCCAACGGTCTTGGCGGCACGACGACGGGTGCGCTTCGGCTTGAGTGCCTCGCGAGCAGAAGCGTCCTGACGAGCAAATGCACTTGCAAATAGCGCAGGATCAAGGCGGCCGGCAGCTGGTGCGTCGTCGTCGTCGTTGTCGTCGTCCACATCTGCTTCGTCGATAGCATCGCCGGCTGCGTCATCGCCAACTGCGTCATCGGCGCCAATTGCACTGTCAGACACGCGCTTCGCAGGTTTTTTGGGCTTGGCGCTCTGCTTGCGCTGCTGCTTCGCGCTGCGCTCGGCATGCGCCTTGTGGCGCGACTGCTGTGCCTGCGAAATACGCTGCCGCTCCTGACGACGCGTGGCGGCCATGCTTACCTCTTCAACCTCCGAGCCACTATCATCTTGGTCATCGTTCGGCACCGGGGCGTAAATATTTATTTCGTCGTCATCCTCGTCATCCTCGTCTTCTTCGTCTTCGCCGGCATCAATGTGGTCATCGTCGACTAGAGTGCTTGGCTCGTCGCCAATCAGCTCCTCGACTTCGTCTTCCTCGTCAAAGACGAGCTTCTTTGGCCGAGCCCGTCGATCTGCACGGGGCGCCATGAAGGTTAAATTTTCAAATTCGTGCATTATTGCGCTCCACAATGCAACACGCGTTCGAGCAGTTTCGTGACGAGATCGATGCATATGTGAGTGTGCTTTTGCTAACAGAACGACAAGCGCGAGCGCCTCATCAAGCTTTCGCGAGACATAACTATCCAGTCCAAAAAGACTATATTCCATCTGCATCGCTTCGATGCGAACCTGGTGTGGCCATACGATGCAAGCGCCAACGAGAAACTCGTGCTCGAAGCACACGAACAGCTAAATAAGGTGTATGCATTGCTGCACAAATGCGGCGAGGACGAGGGACTCGCAAGCGACGGCGCCGCTAGCCCCGAGATGCACCGCTTCGAAAAGTGTATCGGTGCATCGCTCGAAGAGCTGGTCGAGGCCGCCTCGTTCCTGTACTTTGTCGAGCACGGCGAGCTGATGCCGCTCGAACATATCCAGCAAAAACTCTCTGACGGCACACGACAGCACATCTTCCTGTCCCCGCTGCGGTACATACTCGGCATTTCTGACCTCACTGGCGAACTCATGCGCTTTGCGATCAACTCGGCCACCACCAAAAACTGCGACGCCGTCATTCGCGACGTGCTCGAGGTGCAACGCACAATATACGGAGGTGAGTCCATGCTGACAGCGCTCACTCCACTAAGTGTGACATCAAGCATAGTCAAGAAGAAGCAAGCAGTGACACTCTCGTCTCTGCGCAAGGTCGAAGAAGGTAAGCACATTTTTTTTGGAAATTGACCAGCGGCATTTTCCCTCCATATTCTCCGCGTCAAGTACGGCGCACGCCTGTCAGAGATGCAAGATGGGTTTACACAAAATATGCTTTTAGATTGATAGCCTAGAACACGGGAGCGAGCACATGGCCGGCCTTGCGCACAAACAGGATGCCAAGGGCGAAGAACGAAATGCTCCACGCCACAGACACGTTGCCCCAGATCTTGGCGGGGTGAGTGATCTGCTCGGACCAGAAGCGCTGGAACCAGTTAGCAGGGGGGGCAGCCTTGCGCTGAGGACCCTGGAGGAAGCCGGGCTGCGCAGAGCTCATTAGCCACAAACGCACAGATACGAAGCGTTGCCAGACATGGTTGTCGTTAGAACAGTCACGTGTCACCGCCATGGCCACCTCGCTGGGCCACGCGCCTGGTGAACTCGAGGCGAAGCCTAGCCTGATGCACCAGTACCTGCAGCCACCGCCCTACGAGACGGTGCATGCACTCGCTACCATCGACACGGATCTCCGTCTGCTGCCGACCGTGCGTTCCGGCGCTACCGATCTTGATGAGGCCCTGACACATATTCGCGGCCGTGGCGAGAAGGCGCTTACCGAGCTCCACGAGGCCGAGAACGCGCTCCGCACGGCCATCGTCGACGCTAATGATGGATTTGTGCCTGAAGATGCAGATATTGCCGAGGTTATCGATATCTATGGCGCGAGTCTCCGGCCGCCGCACCGGGCGTCTCGCGCGCCTGTTGATGCAGGCGTCGTCGAGCTGCGCATCGCCAAGCACTGCACAGAACTGCTCGCACGCGCAGAAAAGGCTACAGAGGGGACACAAACTGATATCGACTCTGCGCTGCAGGCGCTCTCCCGCCTCGCTGCAGTCGCAGACGATGCAGGCCAGCATGCTTTGATCGGCGACAGCATGTGGCAAAAGACGCAGGCAATTCTCTCCACCAAGCGCGACGATTATTACAGTGCGCTCGTGACGAGGTACTCTGACGCGCTGCGCACAGCGCTGTCTGGTGCCGCGTGGCCGCCGCCAGAGCTGCAGAATCCAGAGCACCGCGCTGGCAGCTCTGGCACATTCACCCTGCTTACAGACGATATCAAGTCTGCATGGTCTGATCTGTGCTCGCTGCAGTTCGCTGCGGCTTCGCTCGGGCTTACATCCCCACCATCTGCCGTTCATCATGTGACACCTCTTGCCGAACAAGTTGCTGTAAAGGCAGCGCCCGGCTCGGCAGACTACGCCCCACTGTTCGCCGTAAGCATTTTGATCGAGCCTATCCTGCTCCGCTTCCGCTTCCACTTTGACAGCGACCGCTCCACTAACCGCCTCGACAAGCCCGAGTGGTTCCTCAGCAATATTCTTGCGCTTATTCAGCTGAACAATTACCTATTCCAAGCTGCACCAGACATGTGGTCAGAGGGGGGCGACGTGTACGAACTCACGCGATTCCGGGCCGGACGTCCCCGACGACACTGCAACGTCGATGCTCCCGCAGAGCTGCTCCATGCACTGCTGACTCCGCTGCGCCTCAAGCTCAGTGCTTCGATGGAGCTGCTTAGCTCCCAGCCAGCACTGCTTGCCCACACCATCTTCCAGTGCCTCGCGTTTGATAATGACCTCCGCTCGGCTTATGGACCCGCCGCAGACGCTATTCGCTTGGCAGACGACATGCTCAGCAATGACTCGCTCTTCCAGCGCTGGCTTGATGGCGAGCGCGAGTTTGCTACGCGTCGCTTTGAAGACGTGGTGGAGGCGCCCGGCGCATGGTCCCTTGTCCAGGCAGAAACACTCACGGAAGAGGGCGAGGCGGAGCACGACGACATTGACACTGGCGGCAAAGTCACCACAAAGGCGGCTGCCACCCTCATCACCATATTAGTCAGCGTAACTGAACGCTACCAGCCGCTCGAGTCGCTCGAGCAGCGCTCCGCATTCATCATCCGCGTCCAACACCCACTGCTCTTCGAGTTCTACGACCGCCTTGCGCGGCATCTGGATGCGTACGAGAACATGAGCAGTGCATTTTCACGCGCACTGCCAGGCGAAATTACCTCACTCTCGTCCGGATCAGGCGCTGATGCTGTGCGTGGCGTGAATGGCATCCGCCGCGTAGTCAAGGCGTATATTTCTGCCTCATATGTCCACCAACAGCTGGTCGAGTGGTCAGAACTGAGCTTTTTCCTTCACATGGCCGATGAAATCCACGCGCTCCCACGTGGAGCGCCCTTGCGCAGGCTCATGTATCCGTCAAAGGACACTGATATCGACTCGTCGAACCTTGTCGCTATCCTCCACAAGGGTCTCCAGAAAGGCGCGTCTGCCGTCCGTCCTCGTGGCCGATCGAACAGCCCAGCTGCTGCATCCCGGGAGCTGGAGTTAGATGAGCCAATCAGTGTCTGGGAGCGTTTCATCTCGCGCTATGCTGATATTTGCGCGCGATGCAAGCGCGGAATCGAGCGTCTGGTCGTGTCAGAGGTCCTCGACCTGCTCAAGCCATACTTTTTCCGTCCATGGGACTCGACGGCTGAACCTGATAATGCCGAGAACGACGACGAACCAAAGACTCCCATCACTCACGATTCACCATGCAAGGAGCTGGTGCCTGCCCTCGCTCGTCTTTCCTCACTCCTGACCGAACTTGTACAAACAATGCCGCCAACACTTCTCCTCCCGATATACCGCCATATTTCTGCATCACTCAGCAGTGCAATTGTCGATCGCGTTATGCTCCCAGATGCACGCGTTCCACAAAAGTTTGCACCCGATCAGGCGAAGCAGTTCTCTGTGGATGTGCACAATGGCTGGCTCCATGTTGTCCGCGAACTCGAAAGACATCCGCGCATCGTTGCTCGGCGAAAGAAGAACGAGCCAACTGGTCTGGGGCGCCGTCCAGAGGCACAGTGGAAGACACTTGTTGAGGCAGCCAGTTCCATAGCTGTATAGACAACGCCGATATGAACACACCGCAGCGAATACTTCGGAGGTGGAGAGATGCACGTCACACACTGCACTCCTCTTGTATCAAATATTCAGATGGTAACGCCAGATTAGCTCGGTGGTGCAGCGGAAGCATGTGGGGCTCATACTAGTATATGGCCACCCCAAGGTCGACGGATCGAAACCGTCCTGAGCTAAGCTTTTCCAGCTCGGTGGTGCAGCGGAAGCATGTGGGGCTCATACTCGTTTATGGCCACCCCAAGGTCGACGGATCGAAACCGTCCTGAGCTAGAGCTTTTTTATTTATTTTAATTTTTATGAAGGATTTATTTGCTTTATAAATAAGACATTCATCATTCGTTCGTTATCATATACATGTATGGGCATAGTAGTAATCGCCATAGGGAAGTTTACGACTTGCTTCGTACAAGTCTTCTTCACCTTGAGTAGGCTCCTCAAAGCGGACACTGCCATGTGACCCGTAGTCAGCATGCGTCTCATATGACAGTGGAGTAGCTTCTGTGCGTGGCAGTCCGTCTTCCAGCCAATACTTGCGTTTACCACCGTCAGTGTACCGAAGACCCGCACGGCTGCGGCGCTCAAGTCCATATGGATGGTGACAAACGTCGTCAATAGGCTCAGTCGAGCGGTACGTATAGTCTGTGCCGTAATGCGTTGCAATAAAGTCCGACCACAAATCGTACACTCCAAAGCTGTCCCGAAGAGCATAGAGTATCGGGAGTCGGCCGGCCAGAGGGTTATTTCCCTGGTCAAAGTCATGGTATGAGAATGCAAACACATGCGCCACGGCAAACAGCGGCATTTCCCAGCAAATCAACGTGTCTTGCAACGCTGGCGACAAGTACTGGTCGTCAAACACAGAGCCAATGTGTTTGATGACGCCGGACGCGACTAGTATCGAGATAGTAAGCCCCTGCCAAAAGCTGAAAAAGATGACACCCTTGACGCACAGGAACTTGGCACCGACGTTGAACGGCTCGAGCTGACGGCGGAAACAAATCCAAAACGCCATCAGCGCATACAACGCCAGAAAGACTGATATGTTGTACACCAGCGATATCCAGGTGTATCCATTTTGTGCAGTAAAGCTGCCATCCTGGTAGTGGCCAAGCACCTTGAGTATCACAGTTGCAATGGCGAGAATTGGCTTAATCTGGACATACTGCATGACTCCTCTCTTGAGCGCCAAAAAGGTATAGGGGTCACTGAGATCCATAGGCGGAAGGAAGAGATTGAGCGGGAAGAAATGAGGCGTAGGCGCCCTGCCGCGCAGCATAATCATGATCTCATTTTCGCCGCCAAGATACTCGACCAGCAGAGTAAAGAAACAGTAAATAACAAACGCCTCGTATATGTCTCTGGCCAGGTCAATCATCTCAGCCAGCTGCAACGAGTACAATGATATTGTCGACGCCACAGAGTACAGTAGCGGCAGAATAAGGATGCGCACAACATAACGTTGCAGAAACGGCCGATAGTAATGTTTGAGCTGTAGCCACACAGAGTATGTCGAGAAGACCACGGAAAAGATAGTGGCACAACTGCAGAGAAAGAGGAGCTGTCCAGGCAGCGAGTTTCCCATGTTGGAGCTTGGCTGTGGCATATACGCCATCATCGACCAAGAGCTCCCGGGCAAACAACTCCGGAGTAATATGTGGAGCTCCGCAAGGTGTGCGTGTTGTTGCTATGAATACAACTCTACTTCTTCTGCACCTTGATGGTGTCCCAGTACAGACGCTCGTCATCGGCGGCCTGCACCTGCTCAATGAGGGGAGCAAGGTAGCGAACGTCCTGTTGTTAGTACCATTATAAAAGGGGGGGTTAAAGTGTGCGAGACGCGCCAAACACTCTGCTCATGCGGCGGCGCACGCTGTGCAGATGCAGTTATGATAATGCGCGTCGAACGCGGCATGCGAAACGTGCACAGCAGTCAAAAGGCGAAAGCTTGGGGTTGCATGCCACACAATCCCAACAAGCACTGCAGCATAGCAATGCTTTTAGGAGCGCAGCCAAACATCTGCAAAATCACAAGACACCCACTGCGCCGCCATTCTGCGCGCAGAGTGGGGCGAACACACAATTACCCCCTGGTTAGACGTACCTCCTCAGCCTTGGTCCACTCCTCCTTGGGGAGAAGGCGCTGGTTGATCGAGAGCTGGACAGCACGGCGCATGCGGTACACGCGGTCGTAGCCCTCGCGCTCAGGGAGGCGCGAAAGAGCCTTCTGGGTCTGGAAGTTCTCCTCGGTCAGGAGGTCGTCGTAGCGCAGGCCCATCTGGCGGTAGCCAGCGGCCTGGGCGTAGGCGTTAGCCACAGGCTTGACCAGCTTCAGCAGCGTAGGCGACGACTGGATGAACTTGGCGAGCGAGATCGACTTCTGCCGTCAGCTGGGCCATCCCACCGCACTTACCGATGCCATCGTTAACTGCAACACGAATTAACGAATGGAAGGGCGCTGAAAACCAAGCGCCGTTCCGTCCCGCGCCGGAATTTCCACGTGACCACACCGGCGCATGCACTTATGCTGTGCTCGCACGGGCGGCAGGCCGTGCGTTTTGTGCATTCGGATGCGCGACATCGAACGATCGCTGTGCTTGGAGGAGGTATAAGTGGTGTTGCATCGGCACTAGAGCTCTCGCGCAAGCTTCCAGCGGCACATATTGTGCTCGTTGAAGGTGATAATCGGCTGGGTGGCTACATTGGAAGCCATCGCGAGTCTGTTGGTACGCACTCGCCTCTGTTTGAGCGCGGTCCACGCAGCATCCGTCCGGTCGGGTACAAAGGGCTGCGCACACTAGAGTTGCTGGACTCCGTTGGGCTCACTCCGCGCTTGCTCACTGTGTCTAAGAGCTCGCCATCTGCCAAGAATCGCTTCATTTACTATGGTGGGCAGCTGAACCAACTGCCGTCCTCGCTTTTCGGCGCTATCAAGGCGTGTGTTAAGCTACCACTCCTGCGCACACTCTTTCCACGCATTTTGAAAGAACCATGGGTGCCAAAAAAGGCCGATGCTGACGAGTCTGTGCACGATTTCATGGCACGACGTCTTGGCCCTGCTGCTGCAACGAACCTTGCGTCCGCTATGATGCATGGTATTTATGCAGGCGACTCACGTGAACTCAGCGTGAAGAGTGTTCTGCCCTCGCTGGTCGAGCTTGAGCAGAAATTTGGTGCTTTGGGAAGAGTCTTTTGGCCGAAATGGATCAACTCGAGGTACACTCACCGCGAGGAAAAGAAAGATACCCGCAAGGTAAACTTGGATGACTCTATTATCAAAATGGCCAAGCAAACGAGTATTTACTCGTTCCCCAACGGTTTGGGGGAGATGGTGTCTGCCATCGAGGCAGAGCTTATTGCCTCTCCAAATGTCTCCATTTGGAAGGGCACGCCCTGTAAGCGCATTTCGTACGAAAATAACAAATTCGTCATGTCATTTGATGGTACCGCGACACTTTACGCCGACAGGCTTGTGTCTGCTATCCCATCTGCTAGGCTGGCCGAGCTGCTTCCGGATCTTCCGCACCTTGGTCATAATCCTTCTGCACACGTTGGTGTCGTTGACATCGTCCTTTCACAGCCTGACGGTTCTGCCAAGCTGCCTATCGAAGGCTTTGGATACCTTGTGCCCCGTGCTGAGAGCAATCCAGACGAGATCCTCGGCGTTGTGCTGGACAGCAGCGCCATTCCCAACCAGGGTTCCACCAAGTTTGTCAAGCTCACTGCAATGATTGGCGGGCCATTTTGGCGCGCTCGCACCACTCTTCCCACACAAAGTGAGCTTGAAGCCCGTGCATTGCGTGCACTGGAAAAGCAACTCGGTGTTCCCAAGACCCAGCTCGACAGTCAGGTGAGCCTGGTCCGTGCGAGGGTGCTCAAGAATACCATTCCTCAGTACCTCGTCGGTCACGTGGACCGGATGTTGGAACTGCGAGAAGTGGTGAATGCACGCTATCCAGGTCTCACACTGGTCGGGTCTAGTTACAATGGTGTCGGAGTCAACGACTGCATTGCCGGAGCTCTAGATGTGTGTGTTGAAATCGCGCGAGCTGAGACAAGCCAGCCGAACGGCGGCACTACTGGTCTCGAGGATATATAGCTACGAGACTTTACTTGAAGAACGAAAGACTGGTTAGCAGCTTCAAATACGTACAGATCGTGCACATCGTCCTTCGAACCGAGGAACACAGGAACACGCTCGTGGATGTTCTGTGGCTGGACGTCAAGAACACGCTGAGTGCCAGTGGTGGCAACACCACCAGCCTGCTCAATAAGGTAGGCCATAGGGAAACCTTCGTAGAGGAGACGGAGCTTGCCGTTCTTCGACTTCTTGTCGGCAGGGTAGGCAAAGATACCGCCGTAGAGGAGGGTACGGTGCACATCGGCAACCATCGAGCCGATGTAACGGGCCGAGTAAGGCTTCTTAGGGGCCTCGGGGTACTTGATAGACTCGAGGTACTTGAGCACAGGCTCGTGGTAGTAGGCGCTGTTGCCCTCGTTGATCGAGTAAATCTTGCCGCGCGCGGGGATCTCGATGTTAGGGTGAGTGAGGATGAACTCGCCCATGGCGTTGTCAAGGGTGAAACCGTTGACACCGTTACCGGTCGACAGCACAATGTTGGCAGACGAACCGTACATGCAGTAGCCGGCAGCAACCATCTCGTTACCGGGGCGGAGCACATCCTCGATCGAGCCAGTCGAGCCCTCACGGACAGTGTAAATACCAAAGATGGTGCCGATGTTCACACCAGCATCAATGTTGCTCGAGCCATCAAGGGGGTCAAACACGACACAGTACTTGCCGGCAGACGCGCCAGGAATCTCAGCGACAATGTGAGGCTGCTCATCCTCCTCCGAAACAAGAACAGCAGTCTGTCCCGAAGCAACAAGCGACTTGACCATGATTTCATTCGAAAGCACATCAAGCTTCTTTTGGTCCTCACCCTGAACGTTCTGGTTGCCCGCAGCACCGACAAGGTTGATCAGACGCGCCTTGCGCACCATGTTCTCAATGAACTTGCAGGTGGTCTGGAGCGAGTTGAGCAGGAGAGTCAACTCACCAGTCGCAAGGTTGCGCTCCTGGAGGCGGAAACCCTCGCTCAGGACAAAGGTTGTAAGTGTGACAAGGTCAGTCGACGGCAGTTCGTATTCGGTCATGGTAAGGATCTGGACGCGTTCC